TCTTATCTCCCGTTTGCAATTTAAAAAGCATTTTAATATATTTTAGTTAACTCTCCGAAAATCCACTGAGGTCCCTATTTTGGTGATGAAGAAACTGAGGCTCAGAAAGACTGAAGACACTGTCCAAGGCCACACAGTGAAGAATCTTGTGCTCAACCTGACGTCTTCTTATTTCAAGTCCAGAGTATCACAAAGGCCCTATAAGGAACCTTGAAAAAAGAAGACTCCTATGGCAGGCTGTATTTTTCCCCTTTTCCTTAGATACATGGCAATATTGAATTTGTATTACCAGGGATAAACAAATTCTAATGAAAGAATTTTGAGGCTAAATTTTCTCTTAATAGTTGCAAGAGGCAGGGCATGGTGGCTCACACCTGTAATCCCAGCACTTTGGGAGCCAAAGTGGAGGGATCACCTGAGGTCAGGAGTTTGAGACCAGCCTAGCCAATGTGATGAAACCTCGCCCCTACTAAAAATGCAAATATTAGGCGGGTGACATGGTGTGTGCCTGTAGTCCCAGTGACTCAGGAGGCTGAGACAGGAAAATCGCTTGAACCCAGAGACAGAGATTGCAGTGACCCGAGATTGTGCCACTGCACTCCAGCCTGGGTGGCAAAGAGAATCATAGTATGTGGGTTTTGAGAAATACGAAAGCAAGACTTTTACTAGACAAATGTGAGTGAAAAAGGAAACTGGCTAAAGTGAAAAACCAGAAATGAATCACTACTCAGAGAGGCCATTCAGTTTCAGTGATAAGAATGAAGAAGTGTTTGAAACACAAAAAGTAGACCAGGCATATGGTGTTGGATGAGAAAACAACTGACACCTGGGATCAGGGCTTAGGCTAACGATTTTTCACCGTCAGCTATAAGAAACCTGAGCATTCTTATCACTCATTTGGCCTCTTACCCTGAAAGTTCTGCTTGCCTGGATAAGACACAGCTGAGCTTATGTCTTCCTCAGCTAGCCTTCACCTCTGAAACTCAACAAAAGAAGCTCCCTGCACAATGCTATTGTCCACAGAGCCAGGTAACAGGCAGAAGCTAGACAATTCTCTGTTTTCAGACTATGGAACATTTGAATCCAGCGTTTTTACTCAGACTTGGGGCAAGTTGTCAACCTTTCCAAGCCTCATTATTTCCAACTATAAAATGGGTGTATTTATACCCAGGGCTGGCTTCAAGGGCCATGAAACCTATGTAACTGCATGGCCCTGCACTTAGAAGGGCCAGCGCTTGGTTTTAATATTCCACTGCCAGCATCTTAAAATTCTTGACACTTGGCAAGGGGCAGTGGCTCATGCCTGTACTCCAGCACTTTGGGAGGCCAAGGTGGGTGGATCATGAGGTCAGGAGTTCGAGGCCAGCCTGGCCAATATGGTGAAACTCTGTCTCTACTAAAAATACAAAAATTAACCAGACATGGTGGTTCATGCCTATAGTTCCAGCTATTCAGGAGGCTGAGGCAGGAAAATTGTTTGAACCTGGAAGGCGGTGGTTTCAGTGAGCCAAGACTGTGCCTCTGCACTCCAGCCTGGGTGACAGAGTGAGACCCCATCTCAAAAACAACAACAAAAAAAACCCTCTTGACGCTTTTTGAACATAGGGCCCCACATATTCATTTTGCACTCTACAAATTATGTGACTCGTCCTATTTATGCCTGTCTCAGAATTGCTGAAAGGCTCGCAAAGAGGTAAGGACAACCCAAGCCTGGAGTCTGGTGGGTGCTCAGGGAAGGCGGCCATGATTATTACTGTCATGCTGCTGGAGCTATTGGTCTTTGAGTTGGCTCCTGGATACTAGGTCATATGTAAGCTGGCTAGATAGAGTCAGGTCAAAGAGTCAACAGAAGTGCCCAAAAGTGGTCAATTTTGCCTCCTAATTGTTTCACATGCTACTGTGAGACTTTCTCAAAGTTATTTCAAGTTGTTAACTTGTTCACATAAATCAGTATTTTCCTTCCACCTGGCACTGCAAATCCAAAGTGGATGTTCTTTCCCTCTGACGGCATTGTCAGGTAGAACAGTCAACAAGTCACGAGGTAAGTAGTCAGAATAATCAGGGGAAAGATTTACTGTCACCCAGGCAAGCATCGCCTTGCTTCCCTGGAGAGAGGCAGCAAAGACAGACCAAGGGAAAGAAGGAAAGGGGAGGTTATGAAGGGAGGTAGTGGAGGTAGTTGGAGCTCTGTCTTTCTGGAGAAAACAGTTTGTGGAGCTTGTGTGCATGCAACTTCTTTCTTTCTTTTGAGAATGAGTCTCACTCTGTTGCCCAGGCTGGAGGGCAGTGGCATGTTCTCCACTTATTGCAAACTCCACCTCCCAGGTTCAAGCAATTCTCCTGCCTCACCCTCCCAAGTAGCTAGGATTATAGTCACATACCACCATACCCACATAAGTTTTGTATTTTTAGTAGAGACAGGGTTTCACCTTGTTGGCCAGGCTGGTCTTGAACTCCTGACCTCAAGTGATCTACCTACCTCAGCCTCCCAAGGTGCTGGGATTACAGGTGTGAGCCACTGTGCCCAGCCTGAAATTTGTTTCTTTAGGATTGGGTGAAAGAGAAACAGATAAAGAAACTGAGGGCCACCCCAGTGCTGTCCAGGATGCTGAGATGAGGGGTCAGCACAGTGAACTGATCCCAAGTGTCACCTGGGCTAACCAAAGCAATGCAGCCTCATGTAACCCATGTTTGGGGGTGGGCTCAATTCAATATAGAGCATGACTTCTGACCCACAGTGCTGTCAGTTACAGCCAACTACATCTGTTCAATGCTTCTGAAATAAAGATCTTCTCTGAATGACAGGACTGTCAACCTTATGCTCTGAGCAAGTGCTGCATTCTGGGAAGGGCAAGGACCCAAATGTGTGATTTCAAGGACTATGGTCTTCCAACACTACAGACTCATCATCAGGTGTCATGGGAAGCCTGCCAGGAGAGATGTAAATGTAGATGAAGCAATACCTGGTGCCAAGTGGAAAGCAAATCCAAGACGGGGCAAAGACCTACAACAACAAAAATCACAGCTGCAGCTCACAACTAATCAAGCTCTTCATATATGCCAGGTTCTATGCTAAGAACTTCATGCTTATTATAATCTCACTAGCTCTTACAGCAACCCTTGGAAGTAATTATTGTCATTGTCATTTTCCATGTAGAGAAACCAGTGTTTGGAGAGTAATATGACTAAGTCAAGCAACTGGCAATGTCAGAGCCTAGATCTGACCCTAGTCTGTCTGACTTCAAAACTCAAACTCTCAGTGTTCTACTGGCCCCAATGAGGAGGACCTTCAAAGAGGCCCAGGAGGTTTGTCAACTAGCTCCTGGATGACAGCAGTTGCTGTGATAACTGAGTTTCTAGCCCTTCCTTTTTCTCAAATATATTGGCTACTCTTATAGTAAAAGTACATTTCAGATTCACGCCAAATGTACTTTCACCCACATGAAGGAGAAGACCAGAGGTTCAAAATTCCATTACAGCCGTTCTCTTTCTCCCACCAAACAGTTTGAAAGGAATATCCAAGAGGGAGAGGAAAAAAGTTAGCTTTGTTAAAGAAGTTGAAAAATGTGCTTTCAAATGAGAAACATGTGTGCGATTATTCTTCATCTTTTGTCTCCACCCCCAGCCCAGCTGAAAACAAGTTAACAGGATACAAATGCACACATCCACATAAAGATAGGAAAAGTCAGTGGTGCCCTGGATGGCAGGCCAGGAGCTGCTGCAGGAAGCTTGAAGAAGTCGTGGAAAACTCCACAGCCACTCCAGCTCAGATCCAAGCAGTTTTCAAGCATGTGGACAATGACTCCTGGTGAAGAAGAAAACTGTACTTGAATTTTTTTTTTAAAGGGAAGGGAGCAGGAGGGGACGATCTGCTACAGGCAGGCCTGAGAACCAGCAAGCGTGCCAGAGATGGAAGAAGTGCTGGCACTAGGCCAGTTTTTTATATCATTTCTTTTTTTTTTTCCCCTCCCTTCTGGCACAAAGAAGCTATGGAATTTCAAAAACTGGGTCATCATTTTTGAATTCCCTGCTTTCAACAAAGTGCTCAGTTGGTCTTGTTGACTGGCTTAAAAGTCTGATTTCCTGAGCTAACACTTCCTAGCCATTCAGCTGCAGGCGAGTAATAAACCAGGGGCCTGCCTGCCTACCTACTGGTCGCCAATGTGCAATGGATCTCTCAGGGAAGCTGGAGGGCCATCCTTGGATTCCCTGCCATTATATGTTTAACAGCATCAAATATGCCCATTAAAGCACCACTTCAAAGGCTAACATTCTTCCTGGGAGGCCAGGGAAAGGGAGACATTCTAATACCCTGATCTTATTGAGTGATGGCTTTACCCAGAAGTTTAGGTATTCCCAAGAGCATGGCTGGTCTGCCCATGAGGGACATGGGGTCATGAGGAAGCTGTTCTACACAAGCTTTATTCAGGGTCAGCGAGAGTTCTCACCCCTGGATGAGTAGTCAGTATCTGCCACTTATGGAATTTGGCACCATCTAAGTTTTCTTCCAGAAGCAGACTTAAACTTACCTCCATCAAGAACGGGTTTTGAGAATTTTCACTTGATTTTCTAAAATGACATCAAGAAGTCTCTAAATACCACCTTTCATTCTTAAGTACCAGAGTTCTACGAAGTTTCCCAGGTTCATCAGCAGGAGACAAAATACACTCTACCCTTGTGGCCAGGTGAAAGCCTTTGCTAATTCTTCACAGTGACTTGCTTCAGACTGACACAATCACATCACAGCACAGCCTCCTACTTCAATATTGGCCTCCAATAAACTCTCCGCTGGGTGAACAGGAAACTCATTGTGAGCTGAGTTTCTAAGCCTCTAACACTCAGGCAAGAGGCATCAAATTTCAGCAAGATCTTTTGGAGCATGAACACAAGTAAAAACCAGCTACGGGGTCAAGTCTGGGCTTGCTTTATTTGACCTTGGTTTGTTTTATTTTATTTAGGAAAACTTTTGAGGGGAATGCAGTGGACCATAAAACCCTTACCTTTTAAAGGAGCCCATTGTTAGCAATTTGTTCATCACAGCTCCCTCGATCTCACCAAAAAAGTCTCCAGTCTATGGGGAAGAAGACATATGAGGAGGTGTAGATAAATAATGTGCCCAAACAGGAGAGAAGAAATGTAAAGGGACACAGTCTGTGTCTTGGAACTGAGAGGAGCAAAAGGCAGGTTTTCAGGAAAGTAGAAAAGGTTTTAACAGTCATGAGAAGCTATGGGATTTCACAGCAAACTAGTGAGCAGATGTGAACGCTTCCACAGTCATGGGAGGGGGTTGGGTAACCCATGCTGAATGCTGAAATTAAAACATGCACGCACACACATGTGCACACACACACATGCCCCACTACCCTTAGATGGAGTAGGTAGTAATCTGCACATAATCCCTTGTGATTAAAACACTACTCATATAGGCAGAAACAGGCTACGAGAGGGCTTCCTAAGCACTAATAAAAATAATTGTTTATAATTCCTGGATGACCTGTTTAGGGAAATACAGCAGTCCACTTCATCAGCCCTATAAATTTCCTGCAGTTGAGAATCCGTCCTTTCTCAGAATCACTTTCTGAGGATCACTTTCATTTTGTCAGAGGCAGTTGACACACTGACCAAGAGTAAGACTATTCAGGCCCTTGAGGAGACCGCGTGGCCAATCAGACTGCTAAGGGCCTTCCCCCACATCTGAGGCTGACTGAAGGTCATCTGAAGCTTTGCAGTGATTCCCCACCACCAGGCTGATGTTTTTTTAAGTCTACTTCTTGGTGCTTGCCAAGATTTGTGAACTTTGAATGGCGGAATGAAGGATGAACATCCTCATGCATGCCCTCTTAACTTCTGGAGCCACTATAATGCAAGGTGTCCCATGGGGAAGGGCGTATGCAGGGCATGTAACAGAGCCTGCAGCAACAGCCTTCTTCTGCCAACACGCTGGGATGAGCCAGTGTTGCCCAGCAGAGAAGCCCCATCTCTGCTCTGGGTGTTCTGAAGATTTATAGCTTGTGAGTAGGTGGGTGGGTGGAGGGCACTGCAATAAGAATCCAAATTACATAAATTCCTTAGGCTTTGTATTAACTAAACCCCAATTCCATTGCAACTAACTGAGTGACTTCAACCACACTCCTGGGAGTTTTCAGGCAGCAAGATATATATAACAACTTTGGCAAAATGTACAGGGAGATGAAAAGGAGGAAGAAGGAAACAGCATTTCTCTGCCTGAATATTGAGCGCTTCCTTTTTCACTACAGGGAAACTTGGAAACTTTTGTAAACTCTCTGGGCGTGTACTACTGCTAGGAGCAAGAAGGACATTTGTATTTCGTGTATAAATATGCCAGTTTCAATGAAACTGGTTGTTAGATGGAGAAGAATTATCCTAATTGGGGCACAAGAAGTCAGACAACATCAAACAAGCCCAGGCTAAGCAGGCTGGCAGGCTCACTGGTCTACTGCAGGCTTATTCCATGGAGAGATAGAGCAGGGAATCTGTCGTGACCATGGTGGCTCATGGCTGAAACAGAGTCATGCACTGCTTCCATCACTTGTTGGCTAGTCCAGGACTCACCCCTGGAAGACATCTACTGTATCCTTCCTGAGCCCTGGGATCATTCCTATCTCAGCCCTACATGAGTAGAGCAGAAGAATAGAGCTCCTCCTTCCAGACAACTTATCTGGGTTCTTGCTCCATAGATTCTTGAATGCCTATGTTCCTCCTCACAGCCAAAGGGGCATATAACTATAGGCCAAAGGACTTTCCTGCTGTCTCAGGGACTGGCCTTGTTTCATAGGCCCATTCATCTCACCTAATGTCCATCGACTGTCCCCCGTCTAGTGATGTTCAGGATCAGGAGACTGGGAATGGGCATTTTGAGTCTCAACAGTGTAACCAAGGTGCATTGAAAATTCTACAACATTCTCATAAGAGAGGAAATGAAAGCACAATTCTTCAACTTTCCTGGAGCCCCTGTTTCTAAATCACCAAACCATTCATTTCAGACCCTAAAAAGCCAACTTGAGGATGATTAACTAATTAAGCAATGAACCTATCATACTGCTGGCTACTAAAGACTTTTAAATGATTTACAACGGACTTCATTGTAATGTATTAGTATACTCGAATATTTGAGTTAGAAGAAACCTTATATAGTCAACCATCCTCACTGTACAGAGCCTATCTAGAGGTTCAGACAAGTTAAGTAACTTGCTGATAATCCCAAAACTAGTTAAGAAAGACAGCTAACATCAGAAACCACCTTCCTTCTCTGGTAGTGTTACTTTATTATATGCACGGTTAAACTTGTTTGTATTTTACCTTTTTTATACGTTAATGTAATTTCTAATTGCAGGAAAAGTTTTAATGCAGAAAATTTGAATGGAAAAACCTGTTTCTCAATTACAATACCATTGACTTTAACTGTTATTTTGATTTCCAGGCAGAGTGGAGATTTCTGTGCTGAAGCTCATAGCTTGGTTTCTTTTCATCTCTCTCCCTCCTGCCCCTATGCTGCACATGGTGCAGTCAAATGAGAATATTCCTCTTCCATCTCTGGACCCTTGTCCCTTGGTGTTGAGAGCCCAAGCTGTTAATCCCTGAACTCAGATAACTGATTTTTAAAAACATAAACAATAATCATGAAGAAACAGACACGTATGTGTGTGCATGCATATGAAGGTGAAATATCAGAAGGAAAAATAACCCCCTTAAAGTTGCACCAACTATTTAAGGCACTCCACCCTTGAGGGAAAAGTTCTTTATGTGGCACAGACAACTCTAAGGCTAAGAGTTCTATAAACTGAACATTTTATGAGTGAGAGAACAGACCCTGGGCACTGTCACCCCCCTGTACCCCCCACTGGGAGGTAAAAACTCTTTGGGGCCTGCTGAGAAGCAGACTGTGGCATTCTTAGAGGGATGGAAATAAGGTTTTATAATCTCCTGCTATTACCTCCTAAATACAGAGCATTGTCTCAAAGTTTTAACACCATAATTTGTTCCCCCTAACCCAAGCACATTCTGAGCTGCTTACTTTGAGTCGGTAGAAAATTTTCACTCACCTGTGTGTAGTCTTCAGACACCAAAATAAATCCATTATTGTCTATGAGGTAACAGTTCACAGTCTAGAAAATTAAAAACAACAACAACAGCTTCAACTTCGGGCCATCACACACACATGTATGGCATCATACAGAATGTCGTACTTCCAACCCAAGAGAAACCTGCATTTTTTGAAGGCAACTGTTTTCAGGGAACTACAAAAACCTGCTGGCTCTAGGCATGAAGGCCATGGTTAAGATAACCCAGGTATTTACTCTGCAAAACTAACAAACAAAAAACACTGATCACGTCTTGATCCAGATTGGGATAAAAAACATATGCACTAAACAATGATGAGTTACAGTTTGTCTTTTTTTTTTCTGTATGACCTGAGTAATGCTTCCCAGGAACAAAGTGCACAGAAGCCCCTGAGCCTGTATTGGCGATTGAAGTGCAGGCTGTTTTGAAAGCAAAACGCCAGCACAATGTCATTACTCTAATGATGTATTAATGAAAACACCGTGTCAGCTCAGAGGACCATCAGGGGACCAGGTAATATTTTTTAATTTGTTCATAGACTGAGGCATGGGGGAAGGGGCAGACTTCTGTTAAAGGGGCCCCTCAGGCCTCCTAAAGATTTTCAAACTGTGTTTTTAATTGGGAGCTGGATTTGGGGGCAGGCTGTTAGCTTTTGGTAGCTCATACTTATAAATTGTAGAAAGCAAGGTAAGCCCAAACCTCTGCTTCCCCCACACTACTTTAATCTCAAGTGAATGATTTGCTACAGGCTAAGTTTTAATTATAGTGCTGTGGAGTTTAAACTTAAGGTTTAATTCCGTCCTTGATGTAACTCAGTTTCTATTTATTGCAGCTTTACATACCGACTGCAACATTTAATTTGTAACATATCTTTACTCTGAGCTAAATTCCGCCTAGCTGCAGGCCACCACGGGGCTGGTGTTTTCTGGGACATTTGCCTATCCACAGGATTGGTTTTGGTTAGGCACAAAAGGGCAGCAGTGAGCTGGTCAGAAAGGTCCATCCTTTATTACTAGACAGTGCCTGCAGAATCCACAGAAAATGAGAAGCCCTGCTAGCAGCTTTCATGAAAGAGCTGGCTGCTCTGCTGAACAGTAGAGCTTCTCACAATTACACAAAGGAATCAGAAGAATTACTTGGGTAACCAGTTCACAGCCTTGTTATTTGAAGCAGCTCTCCTCATCCTCAAGGAAACTACCTTGGTTTTGGTGGGAGTCTTGATGAACTTTCTCCATTGCCAGGAGACAGCATTACGGAAACAATCTCGCAGAGCTGTGTTTCCAATATGGTGGCCACCAGCCTTATGCAAATTTAAATTTAATTTCAACTTAATTAAAAGCAACTAAAAATTCAGTTCCTTAGTTATGCAAGTCACATTTCAAGGGTTCCACAGCTACCTCTGGTTACTGGCTACACTTTTGGACATTTCCCTCACTGTGGAAAGTTCTTTTGGACAGTAATGCATTAGATTATACTAGTACTACAATGAGTTTTAACTTAGTTTACATTGGGTCATAATAGACAAATCCTTGCTGATCTGAATGTCACTGTCAGAGGTATTTGAACCAGAGCAATTCCATCTTTAGGGGCTGGAGAAATGAGGCTGAGACCTACTGGGCTGCATTCCCAGGAAGTTAAGGCATTCTAAGTCACAAGATGGGATAGGAGGTCAATATAACATACAGGTCATAAAGACCTTACTGATACAACAGGTTGCAGTAAAGCAGCTGGCTAAAACCTATCAAAACCAAGATGGTGATGAGCGTGACCTCTGGTTGTCTTCACTGCTATACTCCCAGCAGCGCCATGACAGTGTACAAATGTCATGGCAATGTCAAGAAGTTACCCTATATGGTCTAAAAAGGGGAGGCATGAATAATAGCCTACAATTTCAAAAAACCTTAAAAATGGGCAACCAGCAGCCCTCAGAGATGCTCTGCCTACAGTGTAACCATTCTTGATCCCTTTACTTTCCTAAAAAACTTGTTTTCATGTTGCTTTATGGACTTGCTTTGAATTCTTTCTTACATGAGATCCAAGAACCCTCTCTTGGGGTCTGCATCAGGACCCTTTTCAGTAACATCTTTCTGGTGCATCCCAAAGGGATGATACGAAGAGACCCCGGACCCAATTGGCTGACTTTGGGTAAGTGGGGTGCATCAACCGGGGTAAAGAATGGGCTTGGGTTAAAGGCCCAACTTAGGGGAGTTAGAATCCCTCCTAAGACGGAGTGGGTTAAAGGCTCCTATTGATGAAAGGCAAGGACACTTGCTTGAACTTAGGTTCAAGGCTCAACTTAGGAAGGTTAGAGTCCTTCCTAGGATTCAGGGGGTTAGAGGAGACTCTCAGTAAAGTCCCTCTTGGCTAAGAATGGGTTTGGCACTATGGAATGTTAACAACTATTCTCTTTGGATTAATCTGTCTTGCACTTTTTGCTGAGGGCTATGGATGACAGGATGAGACATGTATAGAACAATGGGACATAGGGAGTTTTTTCCTCCCTCAAAAAAGAGAAACTTGAGAGCTGATGAGACTGCTGGAAAAGATCCCTTCACTACCAACAAGTGCCAGCCTAAACTTTCAGTTTGACTGCAATAGGTGGGTCTTTCTCTGGCCTGGCTAAGCTCTTCACCTTCCCCACCCTGCCTCAGGCAATGCTTTCTTCTCTCTCCTTTCCCTTTCTTATTTTTTCTGTAACTCAAGGCCACCATATTGACCAGAGGCAACAAGTTGAAACTCCTGGTGGGAGGTTGGATTAACAATGATGAGGCCCAACGGATGGCAAGTGTGAGTCTTGCCAGTTTGATACTGGGCACTAAGCAGAGGGGCTAATGTCTGTGTTTTGTCACATGTATTTTGCTCTGGGCAGAACGGAAAAAGGTAATTTTCCTTTGTGTTGTGGCTTGGCTCCTAGGGCTGTGGTGCAGCCAGCCAGGTCACTAGGGCTACCCCGGGAAAGGGAACCCAGAAACCTGGCATGCCAGTAAAAGCTTAAGAATTTCTTACCAGTCAAACTTCTAGTCTCTTTTTTTCTCTCTCTCCACCTGCTCTTCTCTCTCCCTCTCGCTCTCTTTCCCTCTCTCTCGTTCTCTCTCTCTGTACAAACAGGTTGAATGAATGGTAAAAGTCGCTGTTTAGGTAAAACTCCTCTGTATAGGATTTACCTCTGTTAGGTAAAAATCCTCTGTAAAGTTTTGATTAATAGGAAAAAGGATTCATGAGGCTAGTCTTAAACTGTAGTGAATCTGGTGTGCTTTGTGTGTCTTTCTGTATTGTTCTGTCATAAAAGAGGGGTGGTCCAGGATAAAATGCCAGCCTAGGACTCCCATAAGCCTGCTGTCCAAGATGGCTCATCTAAAAACTTTGCTGCACAAACCAGAAAAAAACAAAAACAAAAACGGAATGACATTTCCCTGTTGTCTTGTATGGCCTTGGAAATCTGACCTTGTAACCATGTGGCTGTGCTTTCTCTTTTCACAATAGCAGCATAGGTTCAGGGTTCAATCCCTGGTTTAGGAAAGGAGTCCTTTATCTTCTGCCTATTTGTGTATTTATATGTGTTGTATGGGTAATATGAAAGAATTCTGATATAATTGGCTTAAAAATTATAGGTGCTTAAATCAAATATTCTCAGAAAAATAAAAAGTATAATGCCATTTAGTTCAGGTGACTTTAGCAATCTTTGGGAAATAAAGACAGTTTTAAAGATTATTGATGAAATAAAAATATCTTCAAAATGTAAACATTTGGTCTAAATTATGCAGGTCAGATATTAGGTTTGCTAAATGTTTTAAGGTCATGAACTGCTTCTTTGACTTTTGAAAATTGTTCAGCTTACCTATTTTGGAGCATTATTAGATAAGGCCTGGGGACATATGGAGAGTCACGCCCTCTAGCTATGCTGGAAAAAGTCAGACACCTTATGGGGTCCCAGGCTTGGCACCTAGTATGTAATTAAAATCCCTTACTTACCAAGGTTTTTACTAAAAGTAAAAGTTGCTAAGAGTTAACACTGTAACATGTATTTGAGACTACTAAGGAAACAGTTCTACATGCAGGGTGTATAAGAAAAGTAAAAAATACTTTTGGTAAAAAGAAGTCATGAGAATGTGTTTTTCTGCCTAGATTAAAGGGTTAAGGGACTATTTTAAATTAGGATAAAGCCAAAAGTTTGGATGGTTTGTAAAAAATTAATTGTAAAAGAAATTCTGTGTGTGTACACTGACTAAAGTAAAAGAGGTATTATTCAGTTTTCCTGTAAATTGAACACTGAAATAAAAGCACAATACGTTTTCTTAGAACACTGATCTGCTCTTTCATTATAAAAATATAAAGGGTTTTACAAGGTTTATGAAAATCTTACTTTATGGTAAAACTGATTAAGACTGAATACAGTTGTCAATAAGGTTTTATTAAGAATTGGATCGAACATTAATGGTACACTAATGCAAAGGTAAAACTTGGCTTATTTGGTATGGAAATCATAACAGGAGGCATTATCAAATGTGAAATAGTGTTTGGCTTTCTTTGGTTTGTATTTGTATAAATGTGTTATTGGTATGTGTTCCAAAATTGTGAGAAGCTCCTATAATTCTAACACAGCTTAGTGTATATTATTAATAGTTATAATTGTTACATCAAATTTGTGTGCCACAGAAGTAACCAAACTTCCTTGTCAATTGTGGCTTTAATAGTGGCTATCCTAAGATTTTTTATCATCCACAGATAATTGTCTTGTTTTAATCTACTTCAAAAGGTGGTTTATAATGTACTATAGAATTCTGACAGGTGCTATGGAATGCAGGTTTCTGATAACACTGGAGATTGTGACATTAGAATAGAGAAAAAAACTTTCAGGACTCTCCTAGAGAGATGAAAAGTTAATGACAGAACAGCAGTCAACTCCATGAACTGAACTCATAAAAAACTGTAATTTTTTTTTAACTTTTTTGCTTAAGAACATTGCTGATTCTGTTTTCCAGGGCCGAGAAAACTTTTCTTTTGCACTATTTACAGCTTTTAACAATCAAGTACAGTATACTTC